TGCATGTTTAAGGGTGCTGCTGCCCCACAGTAGTTCTGCAGTATAGACATGCCTTCTTTTGACACATAATTGTGTCAGAGTGAAGTGCAAAAGCATTCAGGCTAAGCATTCATCATGCACATTTCACTGATTAAAATGACAAAGTTACCTCTACTAAATTCTACAGAGCCTAGCCATATTAAGGATGAGTCAGTGGGATTATTTTCTGGTACATACATTAGAATTATTAATGATATACTATTGTATTTACTGAAATGTAAGACAACCCTGAATTTATGGTGACCCCCTCAATTAGATTCCACACACGGAAACATTTTAAATTTGGTATTATTTTTTATAAACAGCCCTACTGACAAAAACTATAGCACTATCAGTAAGCCATAAATTCGACATTAGCTTCAATTCAATTCAAACATTAACTTAATTTCATCCATATTAGGTCCTCTCTAGAACCTAATGAGTGCAACTCCTTTCTTAGACCCTACAACTTAGGACTGGTCACTTACACATGCATCTTCACACTCACACTCTTCACTGTTCTCATCTTCTCCCTCATCTTCCCACAAAACATCATCTTCAGTTCCATCCATGGCACTGGATAAACAGCAGTTCCTGAAGCCTTTAATAATGGATTTTGAAGATCCCCAAAGAGTTGGAATCGATATGGTAAACCAGTGCTATGGTTGGCTTCTTAATCTTCCCACCAGGTGTATGTGCAAGGGTCCCTGCTAAAAGCCATTCTGAGTACTGATGTTGTAAATGGTCTTTAAAGGACTTATTCACTATGACATCCGGTACTCGGAACTGAAATGTCATACCAGCAGGTATGACTACAAGATCATGATTCATTGACCAAATTTTTGCTTTCACATCTGATCCTAAATGCCCTCTGAATCAATCTAACACTAACATTCCTCTTTTCTTTAGCAATGCCCCAGGTCTCCATTTCTACACAACATCTAACCAGTCATTCATCAGTTCACTTGGCATTCACCCTTGTTCCTGGCATCTAACCACTAATCCTGGTGGTAACTTTTATTGTGGCAGAGTTTTGTATTTAAAAATCACTTAGGGTGGCAATTTTCTCCCATCTGCCAATACTGCTAACATCACTGTAATTCATGACTTTTCATTTCCTGTATTTCTCATAATTATGTATTTTGTGCCTTTCTTATGGATGATAACATTGCTTGGCACATCAAAATAGAGTGGAGTTTCATCAGCATTACCTATCTGGCCCAGCAGGTAATCATGAGTTTTGCATAGCCAAATAATGTACTGCTGGAATTCAACAAGTTTTTCACTGCAGTCTGATGGTAACTTTTGTCTAAGTGATGTTCTTATTCTCAGGGCAAAGCCACTATGTCACATCATTTAGATATAGCACCCACTACTTGCTTTGAATTTTTGAAGGGGAATGTTCAATTCCTTCATTATTTCTAATGCCTTCAGTCGAACCACTTCATGGGTAACTGGCATTCCCATCCTTTCTTTTCTTGAACATACATGAGAACTTGCTTATCAATTTCAGAAAAGTGACCTTGTTTTAGACTCCCAAATGTTTTCCATGTGAACTTAGCATTCTTGAGTTTTCCTTGTAACTGTCTCCATCAATACACATCTGTTTCAGTAACATTATACTTCCTTCCTGCCTCATAATTATTTGTTTTTTCAGCATAATTTATAAACTTCATTTTAAAGTGTGTGTCATAGCTGCACCTCCATTCCTTTTGTTATCTTTACATTTGTACAGATACTTCCTCTTTTTTTTTTTTTTTTACATGGGGGTTTCCCTGCCACCACTTACCCCACAGAATTTGCCATGGGTTTCTCTGGTTTTAAATTTTGGCCAGTTAGTGGTGATCAGGACCTGTAATTATCTGCTTTCACTGCTACTGGGTGCTCCTGCCTGCCACCTGTGCCTCCACCAAGTTCCTTGCTGCCACTTGCTTCACTGCTGTCAGGTGTCTCATCATATGCTGGTTCCCTCACAACTGCTGACTGAAGCCTGGCCAATGAGGGATCTAGCACACTGCATTCTGATCCTGGGTCCCTCATCACTGTTTCTGACTTGTAACGTGCTGGATCCTTCATCAGCATTCTCCTTTTAGGTTACTTCTCGCTGCTGCCAGGTCCCTTGCCACTGCATGCTGTGTGCCTTGCCATGTACTGGATCCCTTTCTGCCACTGCTAGGAGTCTCACTGCATGCTGGATCCCTCCTTATTGCTGCCAAGAGCCTCTTTATGCATTGGGTCCCTCGCTGCATGCTGGGTCCTTTGTCACTACAGTCAGGTCTCTCCCTGCAGCATGCAGGGTACCTGGCTGACCCCTGGGGGTCTCTCCCCCCCAGAGTGCTAGCCAGTAGGCCTGTGCAAGGCAGCTAGTATTTGCTTTGGATTCAGATTTGGCTGATTTAGAGGGACAGTGATTTAATTTGATGATTCAAATCACTGTCCCAATTCAATTCAGCCGATTTTGATCTGGAGATTCGGTGTCAATTCAGAGATTCGGCCATAGACTAAACAGGCAGCAGTCCTTTACCGCACTGGACACAGCTGCCTCCAGCTGGTAAGTCTACTGTAGTGGGCAGACAGGGGAGGGAAGAGGCGTGGCTGGGGGGCAGATCAACACCCCCACAGCAAGAGAGGGATTGGGGCGGGGGTGGGGGCTGGGACAAGCTGCCCAGCTGGGGCATGGGGGACACGGGATTTAGGGTGGGGGGCTTCTGGCACTGTGCACCACTGGTCCGGGAGCTGCTCTTCTGGTGGCTCCTCCAATGGCTCTTGCCACCAGTCCAGGAGAGCATGGAGGTCCGGGACAGCATGCACTCCGCTCACCCCAGCTGGGCAAGCAGTGGCAGGGCATGGGGGCAGGTGCATGCACCTGGATCGGGGCAAGGCTAGTGGCAGGGGCTATGGGAAATTTTAGGGTGTCTGTAGCCCCCCCCCATAGCCCCTGCTCCACTGCACTCTGTGAGGTGGGTGGAGCCAGGGCTGCGCCTCAGGCTGCGGCTGGGGATAGCTGCCCGGAGTGCAGCCCTAACTTTACCCACCCTGTGGAGTGCAGCTCGGGGGCAGGTGGCTGGGTCTAGCCTCCCGGAGCGCAGCCCAGTTCAACCCGCGCAGATCCAGGGGCACATGCCCACTCCCATGCCCTCCTGGACTGGTGGCGAGAGCCACTGGAGGAGCCCCTGGAAGAGCAGCTCCCAGACTGGACGCACACAATGGTGGGAGGCCCACTTCTCCAGGCCCGCCCCCC